GGACTAGTGTTCACTAAGTAGCCAGTGAACAGTTCACTTTGCCTGTTTAAGCTCCCAGGGTTCAGTTCAGCTGTACAATTGTGCTCACTCTCCTTGTCAAAAAGTCGCGTTAGCCTTGGGTCTCCTCAACAGATGCAGTATTGATACAGCAGTTGTATGAACATTGGCAATTTACAGGTGTTTCGTCCTCGGTAATGTTACAGTGATGTCCACGCGGTACGGTTCGAAGTGCCACGCGTCCGGATGGCTCTGTTGTGAGTGTCTAAGATGGCGCTGCTGTACAGTGAGTCCTGCGACGACCCGCTCGGATACGCAGTGTTCTGTGACGTGACTTTGTGAGGGGGGGGGGGAGAGAAGGGCAACGCACGCGAAACAAGGACCCACCTGCACTGCCGGTGGAGCCTCCTCCGAAGCCTCCTCCGCCTGATCCACCGAAGCCTCCTCCACTTCCTCCACCGAAGCCTCCTCCAGTTCCTCCACCGAAGCCTCCTCCACTTCCTCCACCGAAGCCTCCTCCAGTTCCTCCACTTCCTCCACCGAAGCCTCCTCCAGTTCCTCCAGTTCCTCCACCGAAGCCTCCTCCAGTTCCTCCACTTCCTCCACCGAAGCCTCCTCCAGTTCCTCCACCGAAGCCTCCATTTCCTCCTGATCCTCCGCCGAAACCTCCTCCTCCTCCTCCTCCAGAACCTCCGCCAAAGCCTCCTGAGCCTCCTCCAAAACCTCCTCCTCCTCCTCCACTTCCTCCGCCAAAACCTCCTCCTCCTGTGCCTCCGCCAAAGCCTCCTCCTCCTGTGCCTCCGCCAAAACCTCCTCCTCCACTTCCTCCTCCGAAACCTCCTCCTCCACTTCCTCCGCCAAAACCTCCTCCTCCACTTCCTCCACCAAAACCTCCTCCTCCACTTCCTCCACCAAAACCTCCTCCTCCACTTCCTCCACCAAAACCTCCTCCTCCTCCTCCACTTCCTCCACCAAAACCTCCTGAACCTCCGCCGAATCCTCCGCCAGTAGAACCTCCAGTGCCAGTGCCTCCAGTGCCTGTGTGCAACAGACCTTAGACATGTGTTTTCCTTACAAGCAGCGAGTTCAGGAAGACATCACACTTTGTTAAAATTTACAATAGTCTCCCCTGTTAAACTCCGTGTTATGGTTCCGTTTTCTGTCATGATTTAAAGCATGGCGACACAGTACGATTTTTTTTTTTCTTTTTTTTTTGTTTTGCCTTATTCAAGCCAAAGCAAGGTTAATTATCGATCGCAAATACCTACAAACAAGGCAAAGAGAAAAGTAAATACTAATCTGCGATATAGTAATTACAGAGTCAATATTTTCCCCTGAAAATCCATATGATATTTACTTACAGACATTATCATTATACCATTTTACACACGTAATAATGATAAGTGAAAAAAGGACTATTTCAACATAGTGTGATACCCTCCTGTAAAATCCTCGTCTCTCAAGGAATTGGTAAGTTTCCGAAAACTGGCAACTGACTCACTATTTTTCTTTTTTTCTTTTTTTTAAGGAAGCAATCGTTTTCTGTTTGTTTTCATGTGTTTGCTGTTATTGAAGGAGGAAACTTATTCATTTTATCTACGTGTAAAATAAGTCAGTTACCAGTTTTTTGGCATACATTGTAGAAAATATTAAGCGTCATATATCAACAATCTACTTTAGATGAATTCTCAAGCAATCAACTGATACAAAACTACAATACAAGAACATTCCCGGAAAATAATATAGCAATATCAAGTACTATCTGAAACTTATCATAGCACTGAAAGAAAACATAAATACAAGAAATCCCAAATGCAATAACAGTAATGCTAAAAATAAGCTAAGCAATATATATAAGAGAAAAAATATTAGTAAAGTCAAGAGTCCAAGTCATTAATCTACAAGAGACATATAAATAGAAAAGAATAACGATGAAAATACTAGGAAAGGAAGTTAGCAAAAGACAAAAGAAAACATATCGACTTTTAAATCCAGACTTTTTACTTCGAGAAATCAATGCATATATCTTTTACTTAAGCAGGATATAGGTTACTCTCTATTTCCTGCTTGCATACAGGATATGGATCATTAGTTAGAATACTAGGAAAAAAAGTGAACTGCTTTTAACTAAAATGTAAAGCAGTGGATCTTGATTTTTAAGGGCGTCAGTAATTTCTTTAGAGGCGTCAGTTATTTCCTAAGGGAGGGGGGGGGCTTAAAAGAAAAAAACAGGAATTTCTTTTTTATTACATTTTTCACGGTCTTATCGTAAGCATAGTTAAATAATGAAAAGTTTAACAATAATGTGACTAACTCATATTCAATAAAAAGACTAAGAACACATTTATGATTTTCTTTTAAAATCTGGGAGGGAATTCTATTCGTAGATGCCGGGCTAGGGGGGGGGCGGGGGGAGGGGGGAACGATTAATTCGTAATAGTAAAAAGCTTAAGGATCAGAAATGTAAAGCAACTGATTTTGAAGGTGTTTTAATTGACATTTG